AAAAATGACTTCATGTGGTAACAAGTAAATTAACTAGTCTTGTTCAACCTAAAATAAATACTTTGAATGAATGATTCTTTCAATCAATGTCGTTTTCTTTAAATTCAATGAAACTAGTTAATTTGGTGTGAAACTTCTCACAGTGAGTCTTTTATATTGGTGGTCTAGGAAAATTTATCACGAATACCTCTGTGGTCAGATATAGTCTCCTCATCATCACTTGCCATCACACATTTCTTCCCCATCAGCTGGTTTCCCCTCACTAGCTCATGAATCAAATCAAGTATCTGATATTTGCATTGCCGCTTCTGCCAGATGAGCACGAGGCTCAACCATGACAGGAAACGAGACAAACAAATAAGATGATATTGAGAATATGAATTGCACAAATCACTGTGGCTTGTATTTGCAGCGTGCACAGTGCTCATCAGACTGAATTAGCTGTTAACATACAGTTACACACCCCGACACGTCATCAGAGAAGAGACTGAGTCATGGCGTCTCTATCTATAGGGGACCAATCACAGCCTGCGGGGCTTCAATCAAGAGGAAAAACAAATCTATTTCAAGCAACGACGGCTTCTCTTACAGCCTTATAAGAAAGTGTGATCTAAGAGATATTCATACTGTTTACCTAATTCTGTACGACACTGTGTCACACTAATGGGCTCAATTTATTGTTAACACAACTGGAGATCAAAATATGAAGCAAAATATATCAAAGACACAACGTGGCTTCTAGATTATCTACAGATTCTCCAATTATGAACAAACTATCTGATCATCTACAGCATCGAGGTAGGGGGAGGTTTGAATAAGGGTGGGCAGTACGACGCTACTTATCATTATTGTGATGAATTATCTCACATTTTATCACAACATTTTTTGTAAGAACATCGTGAATATTATTATTATTGTTAAAGAACACTGACAACTTCATGTTTGATTACACTGAGACCATATTAAGACCTGTTTATCTGGGTTTACTGCATTTTAGTATGTGAAATGTTGAATAAAAAACATTTTGATAATATTTTTAAACATAGCACGACAGGTTCTCTCAATCATCAAACATCAAAAGAACTAAATATTGTGAAGCATGATAAATATTGTGTATAGAGAAAATGTCTCAAGGTGTCGTTACATTTTTGCCATATTGTCTGCAGATAGTTTTGAATTAAGTTTAATTTGGGATTAAGGTTCAGGTTAGGGTAAGGTTTAGGGTTAGATTTAATGGAATCTATTACATTTAATGTAAAGTTCAGATGCGTTTAATAGACACAGTAAAAGATGCAAAAGTTTGGGCAAACTAGTTAATTTACTTGTTACTACATGAAGTATTTGTTTTAGGTAGATTGGATGAGTCACTTTTTACAGTCATGTTTTAATGAAGTGAAAAAAAAGGTTAAAAACATTTAATTGCAAATTTTATTCCACAATTAGTGTTTGTTTGCTGAATTTAACATATTGGTGGAAAATGAAAATACACACTGTTAAAATGGCTCATCAGTTCACCCTAAAAAACTTGTGGTAACAAGTAAATTAACTCGTTTTATTCAACCTAAAGAAATACTTTATATAATTTCATTTGTTAAACTGCACTATTTGTAAACAGAAACACTACAATCCACAAACATGCAATACACTCATGTGCAGCACCATAGCTGCTACATTCTTTTATACACTGTAAAAAGTGGCTTGTCAGATCTACTTAAAAAATGACTTCATGTGGTAACAAGTAAATTAACTAGTCTTGTTCAACCTAAAATAAATACTTTGAATGAATGATTCTTTCAATCAATGTCGTTTTCTTTAAATTCAATGAAACTAGTTAATTTACTTGTTACTAAATGAAGTCATTTTTTCAGGTAGATGTGACGAGCCACTTTTTACAGTGCACCGTTAGGACTGCTGCCCAATTTCGTTGTACTCTGACAATAAAGTATCTTGAAACTTGAATCTTAAACAATTCTTTGAATCAATATGATTTTTTGAGTTGGTTCAATTGCTTGTTACTACATCATGTAATTTTTTTAGGTTGAACTGATGAGCCAGTAAAAAGTACAGTGTAAAATGTGCCTGTGCAAAAGTTACGGCACATAAATTTACGGTAATGGAAGTAGTTAACAGTAAAGTAAGGAGCAAAGTAAATAAAGTAAAGTAAGGAGGAGGCACATAAATTTAAGGTAGTAGTTAACAGTAAAGTAAGGAGTAAAACTAACTCACACTGTGAAAAGTGGCTCATCAGATCAACCTAAAATAATTACTTCATGTAGTAACAAGCAATTGATCTACTTTTGCTCAACTCAAAAAAATTACATTGATTGAAAGAATCATATTCATTTTAAAGTATTTGTTGAATAAAAACTAGTTAATTTACTTGTTACCACATTAAGTTATTTTTTAGTGTTGATCTCATGAGCCACTTTTTACAGTGTATGAAAGGAAAATGCGTCAGGATTTCTGATTCATGTTTAACAATCATAATATATTCCAGACAGATAAAGCAAGAATGAATGAATCTGCTGCATTTTTGACATTTGCAAACACTCATAAATGACAAACGGCAGGTCTGAGGTCTGTGTTTAAAAAACTTCTGACTGACAGATTTTTCTCTTTCATCTATTCATCTGCTGGAACATTGCATCTGCATTCCCAGACACGGCTTGCTTTTGTAGTGGTTTGATGAGTGTTGCCTCTGAGGGACAGGGTTCTAAAAATCACACTCACGGTTGGTACAAAAAACTGAACTGCCGTCTGGGGCTTTTTTACTGCCATGCATTCTCTCTCGCTTAGCATTTCACTCCTTTATAACATCAACAGAAATACACACACATTTTTGCAGTCCCTAATGAGTCAAATTTGTTTATTTACTCCAAAAAAAATTGGAAATAAATAAAGAAAAAAATATTTTTTCAAATTATATCCTCAAAAAAAAGATTACTTTTCCACGTAAAGTTAAGTTTAGGGTCACTCTCTGGGAGCTTTCTCAACTACCCTGTTCATTGCGAACCAAATGAAATGAACCTTTTCTTCAGTCTGGTTCATTCTGACAGATGTGAACGATCCACCCATACTCAGGTGCATATTAATAAACTAAACTGTTGTCCTTCAACTATTGTGGATCAAGTCAAGGTTTATTTATACAGTGGTTTTTACAACAGGCGTTGTGGCAAAGCTTTACAGAAAAATCCAGGTGCGAGCCCACCTGAGTAGGAAAGAGAAGGAAAACTCCATAAGAGTAAGAGGAAGAAACCCTCAGAGGAACCAAAGGTTCTAATAAAGGAACCAAGAGGCCTCCGTCCACCGAGTGAACCCTGGTTCAGATTGCTCCACTTTTACAATGGTCCACACCATATATAGGAATTCAACAGAGCACGTTTTTCTCTACTTGAAGTGACACAACACAGCTGAATTGTCCATATAATTTCCATGCCTTGTGATGGACTGGCAACCTGTTCAGAGTGTTTCCTGCCTTCCTCGCTGCTGGGATAGGCTCCAGCACCCCCCCAAGACCCAGGAAGATAAGCGGCTCAGACAGTAAGTGTGTGTGTCTGTATAATTTCCATCAAATTGGTCCTGGAGCAGCCCTACCCTGCATGTTTTGAAGTTTTCTCTTCTCTAATGAACCTGATGCAACTAATTAGCTAATCAGCAAAACCTTCCTGAGGCCTTGTCCACACTAACAAGGACACATGCTCACAATGTCGAGATGATGGGTAAATGGTTATGCAGAGCATGTACATGCAAGCTCAGCCCTGAGATGTTGTTGATGTGCCAGATAAAGATGGACGAGCTAAGCAACAAAAGAAACTCTCAGAACTCTCTGTGATCTACAGCTGTGAATACAAAGTGCTTTGTCTTGTATGCAGAAACGCTGTTCTCCTTTTGTTACCCAACTATGTTCAGTTCTTAAAAGGTGACAAGTAGCATCGACACCAATGTTTAAATGAACTGGTCAACTTTGGAGGTGTTGGGGCTGAGATCATGTGTCAATCAAGGGCCAATCATTGGTTCTATCTGTGAGCCAATCAGCACTTTGTACACACACACGAGGACTAATCAGTTTCTGCTTCTTTGTCATGTTGCCACACTGCTCAGTGACTGTGGGAAAAAAAATTATAACACTTTATTAAACATGAAAACATGTGGCTGAAACTGTTTTCTTGCATTTCTTTAAAAAGTCTTCTTGTCTTAAATGTTATAAATATTAAGACTCATAAGTAATTAAATAGTAAACATTTGAATTGATGGGGTCTTAATTACAACATAAACATTCATTTCATTTATTCATCCATCTTTTCTTTTTTCTTCTTTCTCCCAAAATAAGACATTTTGGTGCATTAGAGTCAAAATATCTGATAGAAAACAAAACCTCGCACTGCCTTTAGACTGACCTGCTACACTGACCTGCTGGGACAGTTTATTAGAGTAGCTGGTTGCTGTGATACCTAAAGGAAACTAATGTGGCTCCGACCTAAAACTGACCTCTACACTGGACTTTATCTGCGGTGCTCTTTAGAATAAGAAAAAGATGACTTGTCCTAAAACAAGAAATGTGTCATAAAAATGTAATAGAAAGCATTAAATTTAACTTTCGATAATGTAGACACCCTGTAACAACACTAATTTTATGTTTTAAAACAAACTGTTTGTTTTTCTTGAAAATCACTATTTCTTTGCATGTTCTGCCAGATAGAACCTTATAATTCCAAGCAGAAAGGTTCTACCTGCATTTGACCTGCTCCAAAAAAAAACTCATTCATAAATTTGACAGGATTTTGATATTATACATTTAAAATAAATTCATGTTGTCAGTCATTTTCATGTATGTTTCACATATCAGTTGCTATTTGGAATGCAAAATATTTGAAACTCAGTCAGAATGCAGACTGAACCATATAATTATAAGGGGACGATTTGAGGAAATCAGAGTTCCGGACAAAAACTCCATGGCATGTCATTGACCCTACTCGTCGGCACGAACATGAGTGTGTTACCTGTAATAAGATTATCCACCAGCGTAGTCGGGATACAGAAAACCCCCACCAGTAAGTCGCTCACAGCCAGATTGAGAATGAAAAGGTTGGTAACGGTTCTCATGCGTCGGTTCTCCAACACAATCAGACACACCAGGCCGTTCCCCACCATGCAGAGCAGGAAGATGAAGAGGTAGGCGAGGATGAGGCTGGCCGCCACAGGCAGGGAGTGCTGGTAGTATGGGTAGTAGGTGACACTGGTCAGGTTGGAGGCGCTGCTGCTGTTGGTGGAGATGTTCAGGAGGCTTGAATTTATGTACAGATCCGACAGCTCTGATAATGACTCCATTTCCGACAATGCCGCCGGCACACCGTCCCAGATATCCAGGGAATTCTTCATTGTGTTTATCCTAGACAACACCTGCTAATTGAGAAACACACACACAGAACAGACAGTGTAACAGTCATTAAGGATGGTAATGACAGTGCTTGTGTTGTTATTAAATCATGTATAGATAAAGGAAATTTGAGCCAATGTAGGATCCAGTAGCATCGTTGGACTCAGGGGACAATAAGGCCCAATCCTGTTTCACCCCTTGACCCTACCACTTAGCCCTTAGCCCTCTGTTTAGCATCTAGGGGGTAGGACGTCCTGATTTTTGTTGAGATGGAGGGTTAGAGCGAAGTGTTAGGGCTACAATGTCTTCCAAACTGAGGTTTTTCAGAGGCACTCCAAACAGTGTTATGGTCGCTGTGCAAGCGACCAGAGAAACCCAAAAATGTGAGGATTTTCTCTGTTAAAGAATTACAATAACCATTGTATTGTCTTAGTTTAGTGTCGTTTCCATATCCTTTTCTTCATAACAACCATAAAAAATCATAGTTAGCTAGCTAAATTTCCCATTCCACCTTAAATAGTCCAGCAGTACTGATGCCTGAAGGGCCAGAATGTAACTGCTGCTCCATTTAAGGTGGAACAGAAAAATTCGCACAAGAAGCTGGTGAATAGACGACTTCAGCTTCATATCACTGAAGAATTAGGGGTGGGTGATAATAAATAATTGCCCCCCTCTTTGAAGGCATATGATGCCCTAAATGTAACTAAAGCCCAGCAGTGAGGAGCTGAACTTCACCCTCCTCTGCTGTCACTGCAGACTGGCAGGGTCGCCTACAGAGCAGCGCTGGTAGCTGTTAATGAAGTAATGCTCTTTTTATTTGAGGGTCCCATTTCAGAGGGAAGATTTCAACCACTAACCCTTGTAACTCAGTTCCAAGGGGCAAGGTGACTCTTGAAAACAAGAGGTAGTGGTAAAAATAAGAAATGGGACTGGGCCTAAGCCAAGACAGGCAGTACTGGAACTCTAACAACAATGATTCATAAACAGCCAATGAATGGATTATTATACTGCCCGACAACACAAGCCTGAGACAATTGTCAGTGTTCCTCAATGGAAGCATGAATACAAGAAATGCAAAGCTGTTTATAATGCTATTACTCAAGCCAGTCAACACTGACTTATGAACCAAGACTTAGACCTAAGTCAGAGTTCCTTCTTGATATTCATACTCCGGACCACATAATTAAGACATCAAACGATGGCCTAGCAACATAGACTGACCTAGTCCACCTCAGGCATTCTGTCTAGCACAGCCGCCTTCAATGAAAAATAAAACAGCTTGCCACAGATCGAGTCTGGCATGACTGACAGAGAACTATCGACTTCTCCCGGATGATGGATGGGGAGAAAAGCACAGCACATATGCTATTATGAAGGGAAAGAATATTTCCTCAATGGACAGGTTTGTATAAAAATCAGTCCAGATGATAGCAGAGAGAACGGCAAGCTCCAGAGGGAAATACATGAAGGCTTTAACTTGCACAATGCCTGGCTGGCATACATTATGTAGGACTTGAAGCTAAGAGAAGACTTGCCTTATTGACAGTTTCACAATGCAGACATGTTTGTACTGAATTATAATGATTTAATGAATATTTTTCTAATCCATAAATTCCACTGTGTCCATCATTGAGGTTTCATATATGTATTAGTCAGAGAGCAAACTTCAAACATCACTCAGAAGAGGAGAACTGAAGTCTACAATCCTACACATACACTATATGGACAAAAGTATTGGCACACCTACACATTACACCTACAGGAGCTTTTCTGAATCCCATTCTAAATCCATAGACATTAATATGGAGTTGGTTCGCCCTGAAGCTAAAACGGCTTCCACTCGTCTGGGTAGCTTTCTACAAGATGTTGGAGAGAGTCTGTGGGATTTTTTGCCAGTCATCCAGAAGAGTATTTGTTAGATCAGACACTGATGTTGGATGAGATGGTCTGGCTCGCAATCTCTGTTCTAGTTCATCCCAAAGGTGTTCGATGGGGTTGAGGTCAGGGATCTGTGAGGGCCAGTCAAGTTCTTCCACACCAAACTCACCCAGCCATGCCTTTGTGCACTGGGGCTCAGTCATGCTGGAACAGAAAAGGTTCTTCCCCAAACTGTTCCCACAAAGTTGGAAGCAAAGAATTGTCCAAAATGTATTGGTCTGCTGAAATATTAAGATTTCCCTTCACTGGAACTAAGGGATCTCGGTCGACCCCTGAAAAACATCCCCATATCATCATCCCTCCTCCACCAAACTTTACAGTCGACACAATGCAGTCAGGCAGGTAACGTTCTGTTATTCGCCAAACCCAGATTGTCCATCAGACTGACAGATAGAGAAGCGTGATTCGTCACTCCACAGAATGGGTTTCCACCGCTCCAGAGTCCAGTGGTGGTGTGCTTCACACCCCCCGTTTGGCATTGTGACCTCTAATCTTAGGCCTGTGTGAAGCTGCTCGGCCATGGAAACCGATTTCGTGCAGTCGTTTTGCTGATGTTGCTTCCAGAGGCAGCAGAGTCTGGAACTCTTTAGTGAGTGATTCAACAGAGGATAGACACGGCAGAGTTTGCATGGTCTACCGCATCGTGGCTGAGCTGTTGCTGCTCTTAGACGCTTCCATTTCACAATAACAGCACTTACAGTTGACCGGGGCAGATCTAGCAGGACAGAAACTTCACAGACTTGTGGCAGAGGTGGCATCCTATCACAGTGCCATGCTTAAAGTCACTGAGCTCATCAGTACGACCCTCTACTGCCAGTGTTTGTCTATGGAGACTGCAAGGCTATGTGCTTAATTTTATGCACCTGTTAGCAATGAGTGTGGCTGAAACACCTGAACTCAATAATTAGGAGGGGTGTCCCAATACTTTTGTCAACAAAGTCTAGAGTACAGTCTAAAGCAGCAGCCAAAAGCTTCTTGGTCGATCACTGGTGGTTGGATTTTTTTTCCCTTAATCTCCTTTTTTTTCAACACGAAGGTAAAAGGTTGTCTTGCTTATTAACAGATCAATGTCCACTGATGTATATAGACCAGCAATTGCCATTTTGATCAATACACAACATGCTACAATAGAACTGGTCAATACAACTGAAGAAATGCAGTACGTGACCATATATCAAATGCCAGTCCTGTTGTCAGAGCTAGAATATCAGATCTCTCTTGCACATGTCCTTCTTATATTGATGTTCTGAATTTCGTGGCTTCTTTACATGTAAAAACGTAATATTAGAATGTTTGCACTCTTTATCTGTACGTATTCATCTGTTAACAAGGAATTCCAATGTTTTTAATTCTAAAAAATTCAGTCCTTGAGATGTAATGAGTCATTCAGAGTGGTTTGGTGTGAAATCTTTCACTGTAGAGACTCAGATTTCTTTACAGTGGTGGTGATAGGAACCAGGGGTCACCATGACTACCACACAAATATAGCCATTTTATTTACTACCCAAAACAACCAGTGAACCTACATGTGTCTTCTGAGTTTTATATGGAATTGTTATGATGGTAAAATAGCAGAAAATCTGAAGAAATATGTTTTCTTTGGGGACTATTATGCCTCACAATGCCTTACATGTACTCCTCCGTCATGAATGGATTAAAATGCATTTTAAGCCAAAATTTTTCTGTGTAAAAGCTTTTAGAGGTGGATGTCTGGTTCCTATCATCACCACTGTGAACAGTTCTGACTTGGTAAGTTTCTCTGGAGCAGATCATTTCACACCAAACCGCTCTGAACGACTTTGTTTCCATCTTAAACATTTAATTATTAGAAACGTTTTTGAATTAATGTCCTTTTTTGACTGAAAAGTAAAGAAATGAAGGAGGTCTCAGGCTTTTCACAGTGCAGTAGATGGTAAAAGCGTTGATTCAGGGTTTGGTGTAGGTTTTGGGTTGAAGTTCAGGTCCAGTTCAGGTTTAGAGTTGTAGGTTTAGGGCTAACATTGAGAATCAGTTTAGGTTTATGGTTAGGTGTAGGTTTTTGGTTGAATTAAGGTTAAGCTTACTGTTATGTGTAGGTTTTGGGTGGAAGTTTAAGGTTAAGTTTAGGTTTAGGTGTAGGCTTTGGGTTGAAGTTAAGTTTAGGGTTAGGTCTAGGCTTTGGGTTGAAATTAAGATAACATTTAGGTTTAGGTGTAGGCTTTGGGTTGAAGTTAAGTTTAGGTTTAGGGTTAGGTGTAGGTTCTGGGTTAAAGTTAAGGTTAAGTTTAGGTGTACGTTTTTGGGTGAATTAAGGTTAAGCTTACTGTTAGGTACAGGTTTTGGGTGGAAGTTAAGGTTAAGTTTAGGTTTTGGGTTAGGTGTAGATTTTTGGTTGAATTAAGGTTAAGCTTAGGGTTAGGTGTAGATTTTGGGTGAAGTTTAAGTTTAGGGTTAGTTTTAGGTTCTGGGTTGAAGCTAAGGTTAAGTTTAGGTTTAGGGTTAGGTTTAGGTTTAGGTTTGAGGTTGAAGCTAAGGTTGTGTTTAGTCTTAGGCTTAGGTGTAGGTTCTGGGTTGAAGTAAAGATTAAGTTGGTTTAAAGTTAGGTGTACATTCTGGGTTGAAGTTAAGGTTAAGTTTAGGTCTAGATTTAGGTGTAGGTTTTGGGTGGAAGCTAAGGTTAAGTTCAGGTTTAGAGTTATGTGTAGTATTCTCTATTTTAATAATATATACTAATGTTAAAACCTTATTCTCTGTTCATGTTGCTCTTGTGTTATTGTTTGCTATCCTGTTTGGACTAGCGCAGGATGGGTTCCCTTTTTGAGTCTTGGTTCCTCTCAAGGTTTCTTCCTCTTGCTTTTAGGGATTTTTTCTTCCCACTGTCACCATTGGCGATGCTCATGGGGGCTCGGATCTGGAGTTTTCGGTAAAGCTGCTTTATGACAACGCCTGTTGTAAAAAGTGCTATATAAATAAACTTGACCTGACTTAACTTGTAGGTTTAAGGTTGAAGTTAAGGTTAGGTTTAGGTTTAGAGTTAGGTGTAGGTTGTGGGATTAAGTTAATGTTAAGTTTAGGTTTAGCTGTT